CACACACCAACCACAAAGAAATAGAATTGATCTTGGCTCAGATGTCAGTTCCTGGTGGGGAGGTCCAAAGGGGAACAGAAGAGATCACAATATGGAGGCTGGGATGCAGAGAAAGGAAACAGAGAGGAAGGAGCCTGGGCAAACCACAGCCCCCAAGGAAGAGCAGAAAACGAGTGTGTGTAGGCCATCAGGACAAAGCCCCTCCACCCCCTCAGAGGTTTTGCATCCCTTACCATGACCTTGAGCAGTTGTGTGAGCACCCTAGAGAATCCATTGCCATGCCCTTGAGCAGTCTTGGGTATCTCCTTGGAAGGCCTCAGCTGAGTGGATCACACAGGTGTATGTCAGAACAGTCACCAGTCAGAGAGGCTAAAGGATGCATGGCTGTGTGGAGCCTCTAGGTGGGTCTGGGGGTTGATGTGCCTTACATACTGTGCAGGTGGTACTTTCCCCTTGAGAAACCCCTACTATTTACCAGGAGGTCTTCTTACCTTCCTCCTTAATCAATCTTTGCCATTTTATATCTTATTCTTCTAAAGTATCTGATTCGGGTGTTGCAGTTTTTTCATATTACAAGGACACACCCTCTCCCCTACTTTCTTAAATGAGGCCTCACCTTTTTCTTCCCAGTAAATGTTTAGAGGGGAGATCAACGTCTATACACACAAAATAATTCATATGGTAGCTTGGTTGTGCTGATCATTTCACTATACACACATATAAATTTTATTATTTGGTACTAGGGACTCAAACTCAGGGCCTCATGGATGGTATTCAACACTGTACTGCCAAGGCACAATCCCAGATTAACACATACATGTCTTTATTTTTTTATTTTTTTGTTTGTGGGGTCTGAACGCTGGGCCTGGGCTCTGTCTCTCAGCTCTTCAGCTCAAGGCTAGCACTCTACTACTTGAGCCACAGGACCACTTTGGTTTTTCTGAGTGTTTTGAGATAAGAGTCTCCCGGACTTTCTTGCCCAGGCTGTCTTTGAACCATGATCCTCAGATCTTAAGTCTCCTGAATACCTAGGATTACAGGCGTGAGCCACCATCGCCAAGCTCAGTGATACTTCTGTAAGGCTCGATTTTTAAATTCATAATATGAATGCTGGTTAAGAATACGCAAAACAAAAACTGAGATAAAGGTTTCACCCCTCCCCTGATATTGAGGAATACAACATTGTACATAGAGAACTAAGCTACCTTTTCCATGGTTGGAATTGCCTTTGTTAATTGAAATGATATAAAGGCCTTAGAGATTTTATTAGAGGCAGGAATTTGAAGATAAAATAAGATGTTATTGAAAAACTGGTGGGGAGTTTCTCCACAATCAGTGTCAAGACAGCTGGAGAAATGTGTGTTGCTTGAGTAACTGCGTGTCATTGTGACTCACAATGCCCAAGACATTGTGACCTTGAATGACCTGGATGTGCTTGAGAGAATCTGGCTCATTGTTTCATCATGAGAGCCTTGGCTGATATATAGCTTTGCAGACTAGTATTTTAAGAAAATCCTTTTGACTTTCCCAAAAGATGGATTCAGCATATTTTCCTCTAGTGACTAAGTAAAGTAAGTTACTATGTATTTTGGTGCAGGAGCTGAAGCAGTCTATTGGACATGTGAATCAAAAGTTATTTGGTACAAGCAAGGCCTGGGGTTGAATTCTGGTTCCAGTACTTAAAAATTGCTATCTGGAGCAAAACTATTACTAATTCTCTCCTAGGATTATTTATGTTATGTTTTGAGATTGTCTTCAAAGCATGTAGCATATAATGAATAACTGATAGCAAAAGACAACTAAAATTCAAATTCAATAGTTAGGTGTCAGTAATAAATACAACAGAGGTTATTACTTTGTGAGGGTAAAGGGTTTTTTACACCTTTGTGAATGTTATTTATAAATTTTTGTTTAAGTTATACAATAATTTTGACTCTAAACTCTGCTTTCATAGATGTCTTCTGTCTGTAGTTAAATAGCTAGAGTACATTCTAGAATATATGTTGAGATATTCTTCTGATTGTTATTCAAAACATATATTTTCAGTAGTTGTAATGTGATTTAAGATTTTCTTGGAGGTGGGTTCCGGTTGCTCAGGCCTGTAATCCTAACTACTCAGGAGGCTGAGGATTGAGGTTCAAAGCCAGGCCAAGCAGGAACGTCCGAGACTCTCCAATAAACCATGCAGAAAACTGGAAGTGGCACTGTGGGTCAAGTGGTAGAGCACTAGCCTTGAGCTGAAGGGCTCAAGGACAGCACCCAGGCTCAGAGTTCAAGCCCCCAACCGACAGGGGCTTGGACATGTTTTTGTATAGAGATGAAGCTCCTGGATTAAGCACTGTTTAAGGAGGTGGTGGTGAAGTCCTGGGGCTTGAACAGCTGGGCCTGGGCACTGTTACTGCACTCATTTTGCTCAAGGCTAGCTCTGAAGAATTTGAGCCATGGCACCAAATCTGGTTTCTTCTGTGATTAATTTGAAGTAAGAGTCTTGGAGACTTCCCTGCCTTGACTGGTGTCAAACCACGATCCTCAGATCTCAGCCTCCTAAGTACCTAGAATCGCAGGTGTGAGCCACCGATGCTGAGCAGAAATTTGTTATTTTTTTGGTGGGTCATGGGGCTTGAACTCTGGGCTTGGGCGCTGTCCCTCAGCTCTTTAGCTCAAGGCTAGTGCTCTACCGCTTGAGCTACAGCGCCACGTCCAGTTTTCTAGTGGTTAATTGGAGATAAGAGTCTCAAGGACTTTCCTGCCCAGGCTGGCTTTGAACCTCGATCCTCAGATCTCAGCCTCCTGAGTAGCTAGGATGACAGGCGTGAGCCACCAGTGCCCCGCTTTATATTTATTCTTGAAAGTCAATTCTTACTATCCTTAAGTAGTTATACCAAAGGGAGGGAGATAGGGAAATGTCAGAATTGCAAAATTGCTTTTTTTTTTTTTTAAATCAAGCCCCTTCTGGATTCGCTCCTCCAGATGCCAGATATATCAGTCTTAGACAGATAAAATTAACCCACCAGAAGAAATAATGGAAAGCAACCTAGCTGGCAGGAAAGTAGAGATCACATCAGGCGCTAATGCCTGTCAGAAGCTTCTGACCACCTCTCCCCTTTTGTTTTTTACTCTTCTGATTGAGGATCAACCGCCTCAGACACAGACCATCTCTCGGGCTTGTTCTGTGTGATATCCTCTTTATCCACCTTGGTCTGGCTGCCCCCAGTGGGTCAGACCACACAGATCCTGTTCCCTTGTATCCCCCCCCCCCCACTCTAGATCTGACAGGGGGGCTTTGGGGACTGTCGGGTCTGACCACACAGATCCTGTTCCCTGGTGCCCCCCACACTCTAGATCTGACACGGGGGTCTTTGGGGACTGTCGCCCGGTGGGCTCTCAAAGCTCAGGTCTAGGAAGGTGAGGGAGAGGATACTGACACCGTTTTGAGAATGAAAGAAAATGGGTCACAGGATGGCTCGGCTGTGGAGTTCCGCACCCCGATCCGAATAGGAGGCAGATACGTGCCACAGTCAACCCTAGATTTAAGAATATATATGAAAAAAGATATATATAAAATCCGGGGCCCTGTGCGGCCTAGAACCGCGCAGCCGCAGTGCGGAGCAACCAGGCCGCGCCCCTTCACGTCATAGGAGCACGTCCTCTACGAGCTGTGGGTGGGCGCGGGACTCTGTGACGTAGGCGCGTTCGCGCGGCGTGGGTGGAGCTAGAAGCCGCCTTAGGGGGTTATAGGGCGACGGCGCAGCCGCCATTTTGTACGGTGTTTGTCGCAGCGACTGGACTGGCGCGACGGCGGTTTGGCGACATTTCTCGGCCAAAAGGCCTTTTGCTTTTACGGAGGTAAGTCTTCCGGGGAGAAGCGTGGGACGGGGCGGCTGTCGAGCTTTCTTGAGGCCTGGGAGCCAGGTGTGGGTGGCCCCGTCCCCGAGTTCCGACTTTGGCCACTGGGGATTGAGGTTGGCGGGTCCCGCGGGGCACTGCCCAGCTGGTGGCCTCAGACCCCCTAAAGTTTCCCGGGCGGCGCGGTTCGGCAGCAGGCCCTGCTGTGGGAGCCCAAGACGGCGCGGCTCGGCTCGGTGTGGG